CGGTGAATTTGAAAGGAGTGAGACTGCGCCAAACCATAGTTAATAAAGTTGAATGTCATGAAGCCCGACAGACTCCTTTGTTATATGTTTTTGTCAGCTATTTTAGACTATTTTAGAACGGGCAACAAAGTAATAGGATTAGCAAAACAACAACTTTACACGTGCATCACGCTTTTTTTGTACATTTCTTAGCCGTCGTTGCACGACTTACAACGTGAGAGTGTCTAATTTCACGTTTTGTCGAGGCGAGGAACTCAAGACAACAACTTTCTTTTCTTGATTTTCAATACAGTTCTTTAGGATTTAACTCCAACCGACTCGGTTTAAAAATATATAGAGGATATTACACGGTGGCGCGAAGATATGAATTTTATTTTCGAGCGGCAAAACAATATTTTACGAACGAGCGCAGCGAGTGAGTAAAATATTGTTTTTGCCACGAGAAAATAAAATTCATATCTTCAAGCCGCCGTGTAATGTTCTTTTTATTATATAGACAAAATGACATCGATAAGGTATTAGAGGGAAATTACCAAAATTACGTCATCGATAAACTCACGTGTGAGATTATGGAAATAAACCACTCGGGTCCCGTATGTAGTTTGTTTGAATTTTACGAGTGGTATATTTTCCAGTAAAACACTCGTGTCTATATAATAAATATATATTAAGGGCATGTCTACATGGAGGTGTGGCACCTCAGGTAGGTGAGGTTACATATGTGGCGCGTCATCCCACCTATCATGTAAACGTGATCATGAGAGATTTTATGGACAGGTGGGTTACCTCACCTAAGCGGGTTACCTCACCTACATGTAAACAGGCCCTAAAAGGAGGGTCTGGTCTTTCATCAAACGTTTTCTTTTGTTGTATTAAATTTGCAAAGCTGCTTGCGATGTAGGTGAAGTCGTACTATTATCACCCTTTCACTCCTGCTTATTATACGAGAGGTGGTGAAAGGGGATATAAATGTTAAGAAGGCAATAAATGTGGAGGTTACCCCTCTCCTAGCAACTGCCTTAGTTGGAACTGTTAAATATCTTTTGGTGGATAAATGTGGGAGAAAAGCAGGTGCACACACAGTTTTCATTTTTAACACAGTGACTGTTTTTCAAGTTTTCTGCATGCTGTGAGAATGAAATACTTAAAAAATTAGGTAAAAAAACGATTTAGTGCAAAAATCTTCGGGCTATAACAGCATCCTTATCCCACAGCCACAATCAGGGGCATATTTAATTAGATGATAATCGTCACGTGAGCAGCAGGTACAATTCTTTTTCTTATTTTCCTTTTCAGGATGGAGTTGTATTTACGTGTAATCGAACGCATTATGGTCAAATTTAAATCAAGAATGGCTAGGATTATAAAATGAATTGCCAGAAATGAAAAGGTTTGGGATATCACGACGGCGATTGATAGTCAATTTGTTTTTCCCCAACTTCATGCAATAATTATTTCCAACACTTTCAATTTGTTTACGAGTTCTTCAGGAATTGAATTCTCGTGGACTACACTGTACACGTCATCGAGTGTTACTTTTGTGCAGTGACAACAACCACCTAGTTTTTAGGATCTCAATCAATTTTTCTCCCTTGTCATCGAGTGGAGACCCTGTTCGAGCCTGATCACGCGACCACCTCAAAAATCTGTTTGAAGGGTGGGGTTGCCAGTGTGACAGGTGCATTTTTTTTTGGCCCTAGTTGCTCAAACGATAATGCAATTGATTTCCAAATACTTACCCACTGAATAGTGTTTTATCCGGTGGATAGCGCTATTCATCTCTTGAAAAACTGGGACCTTGGGAAAAGAGGAAGAAACATTTATTTTCTTTTTTTCTGTGTTTACATGCTCCTGCATGGACGGCAAGTTGATGTACTAATAGCTTGGTACACGTAAAACAATTGTGTTTTTGGTAGCTATTGCTTATTTGACGTTTTCGTTGTCGTTGCTGTCGCCGTCGTCTGTTATAAAGCTCTGTAAAGTTTCAAAATACCAAAAAAATATTTTCTCTGCTGACTCATTTTTATATAGGATTTGTGCTAAAGTATGTAGCAAAAATCAAAGTTGTTCAATGAAAAGAGCTTCCCTCGTCTCGCCTTCGGCTAAGTCGCTGCACGGTCTCTACCTCGAAGAGATTTTCCAAACTTGGTCTGTAGGCCATGCTCCGAGAAACTAAACAGCGCTAAGCTTCTCTAAGACAAGATCCAGAGCAGTCAATCCTGTTGTGAAAGTAAGATGAGCCAAGGATTTAAAAGATGTATTGAGACATCGCCCTCGGTTCCGAGCACGATTCAAAGTCTAGGTGAGATATGCCACGACTGCCACAAAGAGCCAAATGCAGCATCTTCTGAACACAGCTAGAAAGTGCAAGCGCAGTTTATACATACTTGAAAATTCCGCTGTATAAATTTCACGCTCTCCAAATTTGGACCTACCCCCCTACCGTTTTGAATTGGAAAGGTGGTCACATGATCATAGTCTATCTGCACGACGACAAGGCAGGAAAGGGAGAAATAGCCAAACGCAGTCCCTTCGGAACAAAGCTAAGAAATGAAACTATCACGTTGAATCTCACCCTTCCCTAGTAACTATAAAATTGCCTCGTCGAAAATTGGTCGAGAAACGACCGGTTTTTATTTAGAAAGGTGGTCACATGATTAGGTCAGAGTCACTGACAGACTAGGGTCTACTCGACGAAAAGAAAGGAAAAGAAAGAGCTTAGGGAAGAAGCTGTGACAACAAACAAATAAGATAAAAAGGGCGATACGCGCAAAAAGGAGTATTGTTATGTTTATTACTCTTTAAACGTTCACGTTGCTGTTATGACATCTCAAACTTATTCATATTTGGGAAATTACAATTATATTGCACAGTAATAGACTATAATACCCTGATTATAAACTAAGGCCACGGATTGACGGCCTCGCAGACGGTTATTACTTTCAACGTTTTTGCAGAGGCAAAGATATTTCACAGTAAAATTTGATATCATTGCAATCTAACGGTTCTTTTGACTGGCCCTTTTTGTTTACAATAATTAGTTCTGACAAGGGTTACACATAGAAGTCTCGGTGGACAATATTCTATTTTAAGGATTTAAGTTTACCATGTTTTTCAGAATGAAGACGAAAGATAAAGGTGGAAATTTAAAATCGAAGAAAACCACAACAGAAATGTGTCAAGTCTTTCCTTGTTCTTGGGAGTTTTTTTAGCTGCCCCCGGATTAGCTCAGTTGGAAAATGCTTTGGCCTTGCTGGTCGGGAAATGACAGGTTTGAGCGGCAGCGCAGGGTCTTAACACCTTCATGTTAAGATCATAATGACTATGATTAAACTGATTGGCCTCCTCATCCTTACCCTCCCGTATCAATTGGAAGGGATGCTGTTCGGTAAGAAAAGTAACATTATTGGGGGAGGGGACTGTTAATACAATCACACTCCATGAACGGATATAAAGCTATGTTCACACAGTCACCGAACCAGTTTATGACCGGTGGAAAAATTCGTGCATTAACCAAAATCTAGGTCAAATTTTTCGCCGGTATATTCAACACTTTGATCTTCGTGGTGTGAACGTCGTAATTGTCTATATTTTCGAACGGCAAAGGCGTGGTTGGGAAACGCCATTTTAGACGTGCTAAAGTGATGCTGTTCCCATAGCAAACGTACAACCTTATACACGTCCATCATCGAAAGTGATCGTTAAGCGCCGCTTTGAGTGGGAAACGGTGTTAGCATTTGAATACTTTTTACAGCTATTCTTACGTAAAGAAGAAATTTCACTCCTTTGTGAGGTCCTGCCCATCAACAACGCCGGGAAGCTGTTTTAAGCTTGCCATGTTTACACCTATATTCCACACGTAACTGGTTTTCAGCGCAATGCAATAAAACTATCATCAAATGAGACAAAATCGATTGGTTTGTGAGGGATAGGTCCGAAAACGTTACCAGCCTTTTCGAAAAATTTAGTTTGCAAACATGACGTTTAAAGATGAAAGTTTTTCTGTCAAACTCAGAAAACCGTGAACACCTGAAAAATGTCAGGAATGTTGATTGTGTACTGGCCAATCACAATAAAGTTCAGGATACGCAAGCAAACATCAAAACCACAAACTTACATGTATTACTGTTGCTGTTTGCGGTTTAGTTATCTCTCAACTTATTGGCTTATTTCTTGCAACACAATAACATTCCATAAATATTTCTGGTGTTCACGCTGAGTTTTTCAGTAATGTGCTAGAGAATAATAAGACAAAGTTGGGCAAGTAACCGCATAAAGATTCTTTGCATTTTATATTTACAATACGGTAACGGGACCAAACGTCGACAGGCATTTTAGGAAACGAACCCCGGGTTCCGTACTGCAGGTTATTGAATATTTTTATTTATTATTCATTCCAAAATATTTCGCCGTCTCTCATTGGTTCCAATTCCTCGGCTAATTCTTCATAACCAACCAGCCCTGACCAAATTTGGAAGATGCGAGCAGTATGCCATCGATTCGATGGTATGTTTGATTTGAAACGAGACTGCATGGCGCGGCCAAGAGTGAACTAACAAACAGGCGTTCACGGCTATCTAGAAATAGAAGAAATAGCTGAATTTCTGACTACAACTGAACGGAAGAAATGCAAGAATACACAACAATATTGCTGGATGGATGTTATCTAGTTTTTGAGGAGTATCTATAATGAAAAAAATCTGCTCAAATCCTGAAACCGTGCCGAAAAGAAGCCAAAGTTCCGAAGAAAGTCTAGGAGGAGGTTAGCACGTTAAGAACTTAAACATATATTTTGTATCAGTCAATAATAAAACCATCGGCGGATAAACATTTTAGGCAACATTCTCCTCTATCTGCATAATTCTTCATAACATACGAAAGCCGAATTCAATAATTGCTAAATATGGTGATAGTTATAGTAATTTCATTATGCTAGATACTCGTTTGACTGGGGCCCATAGAGACCACACACGATGCCTTTTCAATGCTCTGAAGAATCTTTACAGACCGTTCTTGTCATAGGATTTGTAAGTCTCCAGGGAATCCATCTGTTGTGCACCTGGCGATTGATGCTTAAAAATAGGAGTGGTCAATGTGGTCCAACGCTGGTAAAAAAAAAAACAAGAAATACAAATGTACAAATATTAACTCCGTAAAAGCAACATCAATTCATAGCTCTTTTTAGTGATCCTGTATAACCTACCCTAGTGAGAACCGACTGACCCTGGACAGGAAGGTCGTCATTCTTCTCATCAAAATTTCGTTAATGGAGTCATTAGGATATTGCTGTTTTAGCTGAGGTTACGAATTAGTACCTTTTTCACAGACAAAATACCTTTGTAGAATTATGAAAAAGGTATCAAACAAACTTCGAGGGAGCGCTAACAATAATATTTTTACTGATTTTTGCAGGTAAAGTACTACTTTTTAAAGCTGACCGAAATTTTTTACGTTTTGTAGCATTAAAATGCCATATGGCCACTGGTAAGAAATTGCCCGCCTACCCCTCCCCTTAGTGAACACTAACACTTACTTCTCACTTTGGGCAAAATGTTGGCTTAGGGGAGAAGTGATGGGCAGTCTCCCAGAGACGTATAATGATCCGTTGTATCCATAATTATCAAAATATTTGATTATAATTACCTCCTTAAAAGAACCCGGTGTAGTGACTAACTTGTACAGCATGACAAATGGTATACAGGCGATTGATGAAAGGGCCATGATCCAACCAATGGCTTGTCCCCAGTCTGGATAATCATAGTCGTCATATTTGAGTGACGAGTATGTTACGAGACTAAAATGAAGACCGCCTGTTGGGAAAAAATGTAGTCACTTCAACCTACGGAATAGCGCTTGACATCAAATGTTAACCTAAGCAAGTATGTTCCACGACTCACTAAACAACAAATAAGTGAGGTATACTACACAGGCCTTGAAAAACGTTCCCTCCAGTAGCCCGGGACAAGTAGATTTTCTCTGGTCAAGTAACTTTTTAAGCTCATTTGCACAATGGGCAAAGGTCCCAACAAGTCATCTTCTAACTACATCATTAACTAAGACGAGCAACAAAAAGGCCCAGGCAGGAAAATTTGCGAGCTGCTTACCAAACGAGAAGCAAAAATTCAATTTTTTTTTTCGAGGCCTGATTACACACTTCCGTGGTGGTGAGTGGAATAGCAGTATTCAAAAAGGCCTTAAAATTAGAAAAGGGAAAAATCTAGACGTGATTCTGTAGTAATTTCATAAATTTACTGAGGTCATTCCTGTCACATTTTTGTAAAACGTTACCAACTGGTTGTTTATGTTGAAGAAACTTCAAATTTGAAATAAAACTGTGGGGTCCTCATACTATTTAAGGAGCAGCAGCAACTTGTATATACGCAATAATTCATTACATGTGATTATATTTACGAGTACATGCTATGAACAAACTAATTTCCGACGATTCCCCTTTTTTCTACACTAGGAATAAGTCTACAGTGTGTATTTATTCTAGAGAAGAAATTTAATGCCATTTTTAAAAAGACAAAAAGTGTAGGTCACCATACTCGTTTAAAAGAAGATGACGATTTACCGTGCACACCTCTGGGAGTTCCAGCCTTGAGGCAAAAGCCGCCATGTTTTAATGTGCGCGGGCTATTACTCGTGAAAATTGTGCACAGTAACGACGCGCAATGCAGTGCTAAGGAATAACCTTAAATTCGTTTCCACACCAAGCAAAAGGCAGGTGTCATCAACATCCAACACCAGCGGCACCAGGGATTGATACAAAATCCAATCATTTTCTCCATGTCGTCATAGAAGCGCTTTCCACCTGAATGATGATATATATAAAACGAGTCACAACTTAACAAATCAAAGACATTATCCCTTCCTTTTATAGGTTAACAGTAATGACACTCTTAGGGTGTGGGGCATAATAAGATTATGTAACAAACCGGGCATAAAGAAGGAAAAGTATAGTAGGCGAAGCTTGATCAGGTCTCTCACGAGCGTGTTTTAAATCCATAAAACAATGGTGAAGAAACTATCTCTTTTTAAGAAACAAGTTGAATCAAATTGAATTCTCAACCATTTTGAAGGAAGTGCAAACGAGCCAAACTGAAGCAGATGTAGTGCTGTTTATTATAGCTACGTGAGTAGGCAAGATGGAGCTATCTTGCCTTGTTTGTGTCCATAAGAAAAAATTCCTGTGGCAAAGAAATACATCGACTGACCAGTCTTATTTCGGGTCATGTTTGATGGACATCAGACCCTATTTTATTTTTTGCTATGGATGGACGATGTGGACCTCTTCACTTGTCAATAACACAAACAAAACCCGGGTTGTTTTATTTCATATGGCATTTTTCTTACCGTATATCCAACCAATAGCGATGCTTTGGTATAGCGCCACCCAGAGGAGGGCAGAACCACTGGCGGAGTAAGAATCGAATAGTTGAAAGACATACATACCACCCTAAATAGAATAGAACAAACATAGGCAGAAAACCGCCATTAATCTTGGCGAACTTGTTTAGGGTCCGATCCTTGTTAATGTAATAATTTTCTTCAGTTTAAAGAAATCTCGCATCAGACCCTTCTGATAATGATATTTATTACTGGGTTTACTTCTCCAACTGCCATACGTTTCAAGCTTATTACAAAGTGCGACAATTTTATTACAAAGTGCGACAGGTATCAGTACAAAGTGGGACGATTATTACAAAGTGCGACAGAAAAAGAGGGCTACGAAAAAGTCACTTAAAAAAAGTGACTTCGCATTGCCTCAAACTTTATCGCGCTTTTTCCATCTCGTTTAATTTGTCAATTGTTGGCAATTTTTTTTTTTTTTTTGTTTTTTAATTATAAAACTGAGAGTATCAAAGTCCAGGAGAAGAAAAAGGAAGTTTTCGTTTTGTGTTCACGTCCCCCAGAAAACGTGAAATTAGGGACAATCACGTTGTAGTCATGCAGTGACGGCAAAGAAATGTACAAAAAAAGCGTGATACACGAGAAAGGTTGTTGTTTTGCCAACCCAAACCTATTGCTTTTTGCCATTCTCGTTGCCGTCATCGTTTTTTAAGCTCCCTAATAATGCTGTATATAACAGTATTTATCGCCTGCGGTGGTTCAGAGGATTTTGGGGGAATCACACAATTAAGGTAGAGGAAACACGGGGATCATTCAGTTATCTTTGGGGATCGCGAGAACTTAGTTCTGTACACGATGTACAACTGTCTAAGGTTCCGAAAAAAGAAATTAGACTTATCATAAATCTCAAGTAATCTGCTTAAAATATAAAAATGGTATTAGCCTTCACTTGAAAACAACAATACTTAACAAAATCCTTCTTAAAGAAAAGCTTACTAAAGCTAAATGTTTGAAGTATTTGAATCTCTCACTCGTCCAAACAAAGGAAAAGGCTTATAACTGCTGATTGATATCACTACCACTGAGGTAACACTACGTGACAGTCTTTGAGCAAGTCGACTGATTTTACTTAAGCCCTGAAAAAGAAAGAATACTGCTACGCACTATTATGCACTGATTTTGTTGTCTTCTTTTATTTAGTTGTTGCATGCTGCTTTCTATTAGTTGTTTGTATCTGTTTCACGGGTTACGTAAATCACTCTAGGCCTACTCTGGGACCTTAACTCGCCGCGAGATTGTGCGAGCTAATGCGAGTTTAGGCGAGTTAAGGCGAGATAAGGAAAAATTGAGCTCGCCTATTAGTTGCGAGTTAAGGCGAGTTAAGGGAAAATGATCCATCTTATGTTGAGGTTATAAGGCTTAAAACTTATAATATGCTTTAGTAACATACATATAAAGATGCCTTGGAATCTTTGTATGTCTTATATATATAGTAGGCTCCATGTTGTCCAATTACGAAAAAATTAAACCAAAAATTTCAGATGAGCTCCAAAGTTGAATGAAGCCAAATCTTGTTTAAATTTATTAACTGAAATATTTTCCTAATTGGACAAGCTTAAGTATGGATATGCTAGTGATATGGAGTCCTGTTCTTTATTAATTATATAGCATTTAGACTCCAAACTAGACCAGTTGGTGGCTGTATCATAATAATAATCATTGTCATCATCATCATATATTATTTATTAAAGCTATATAATTATTTGGCAGAGTAATAAATTACCAGTAGTGAGGAAAAAAAATGAAAACAAAACAATCATGAATAGATAAAAAAA